AACAGGAAATGGCTAGATAGAGATTTTACACATCTAAATGCAATCTCTAGTAATTCAGGTCTTTTCTCATGCTAATAATAGAACTGCTTAGATTTAGCAGAAGACAATTGCATGTCGTGGAGTGGCATAATACAAAATGAGAAACTTTTAATATATGTGAGAAAAATTACACTATTAGCATTCATAGCATAGCCTATAGTGTACCATATTTCCATTAGTTAAGAGTAGCATTTGTTTGATCTATTCAGAGCAATTCTGGATAGGAAGATCTAATTCATGGACACAATCTTATTAGAGCATCTGAGACCAACAGGACTATTGCTGCCTTTCCTGCGCACCACAGGACTTCGGGGTACAGACTGTAAGGACACGTTGATGTTTAATTATTATGAAAGTGTCACTTAAAGAATGAGAAGGGAGTTAAATCACTGTACAAAGATTTAAACTGGAAGCTGGTAAGGTTTTAATAACACTCTGCATGTGAATTATGCTTCCAATAACACACAAATGTATTATGAAGCTTTAGCTAGTATAAAGCAGTTTCTTATGGCTTAATGTATTTGAAAAGAGAATGGCTGTAATTTGTGGTAACAGAAATACCAATTATGAATCAAACTCATAGTTTAATTCACTTAATTATAGCTGCAGTTAAGTTAAAGCAAAAGCCATGTTTAAATACTTTTTCTTCAGTTTATGAAAGTGGAGAGACAATATTCATTTCCTTATATTTATTGGAGTACAGTAATGAAACCCCAGACATTCGCTGCACTGCCATACACCCTCTTGGCATGCCTCTCGTTTTAGCTGGGCTCCAGCCATACTGCAGGCCACCTCCTACCTCTGCCTCCTGCCACCCGCCACACAGAAATGGCGGTTCCTCCATCACTGGCCATTTCCCTTTTTACCTACCACTGTGCCTCCAGCCTTACCTCTGTATCCCGGGATATCCAACCATGCAAATTTTATAAGCATCTGCAGGAGAGGGTAGAGAGGCAATTTTGAAGGAAGCTAACACACTTGATACTTGGTGTACCAGGTGCCCGTGCCCAGGTGTTGGCGGGAATCTCTGTGAGGAGAGGTCAGGGCTGCCCCTGTGCCTGACACAGCGGGTTCCAACGGGTTCCAGCCAGTTCTACAGCAGCCCCACCACAGGGCACAGCTGAGCCCATCACCAACCCTGGTGGAGCCTCAGTGATAACGGATTTAAGAAGGGGAAAACTGCACGGCTGAGAGGAAAAAAGTGTGAGAAATGAGCTCTGCGAGCACCCAGGTCATAGAGAGAGGAGGAGCTCTGGGTGCCCGAGCAGAGACTCCCCTGCAGCCCCTGGAGAGACCACGGTGGAACAATTTTTTCCTGGTGGACTGCAGCCTGTGGAGAAGATCCATGGTAGGGCAGGGGAAAAGAGTGAGCTCTAGGTTGCATAAGCTGAGAATAGCACATGTACTTGTTCTGTCACAAGTCACGTGACTTGTCCCTGAAAAAATCCAACACCTGCTAAGACCACCTTGCCTCAGCAGGTGAGAGCAACAGCATCACCAGACATTTTGAAGAAGGCTTGTGGTGGCCTTATGTAAAATTGCTTCCTCTTCAGATTCTTCTTCATTTTACTTACTAATGAAGAGAAGATGAGCAGCTGTGTTCTTCCAGTACAGTCCCTGCTATAAAAAAGTTAATAAAGAAAAGAAAAAAAAAAATCTCGTGTTGGTTTTACAGGGTTCTAGCTAGAGACTAATTAATATCCCTCTGCAAGAAAAATTAACATGTTAAGGAGTATTTGGAAGAAGAAGGGATTTTTATTGCAAGATTTTTGCCTCATATATATGGAAGCATTATTCTGTTAAAAAAAGGCCTCATCACAATCCTGACTGCAGGGGAACCATGACAGAGCCTGACAGCTCAGATTTGTCCTGACTGCTCGTTTTAGGATTTAAATAGCAGTCTTCAGCCCCCACTCAGCCTCAGCAAGCACTTCTTGCTTTAGCTGGAAGTGAGCGAGAACATCCAAAATTTACACAGACGGACCCCTTTTGGCTTCAGGACAGCTGCCAACCCTTCAAAAGCCACTGCTATTCTGTTCCCACTGCTCCACCTCTGAGAAGGCAACCACAATATTTCATGTACATTTAATAGTAACATGAAATATTTATTACCCTTTTCAGCTTTGAGTTCTGCTTAGTGTTTTATCTCAAATTGGCACCAAAAAAACCCCATACAACTGGGAAGATTTCAGTCCCTAAATGCATGAAAGCTGCAGTTAAGTGAGTTGCTTCACAAGCTCACAATTAAAAGTTTATTTGCACTGTACATAATCAACCCTCTTACACTCTAAATTATCTTCTCATTACAGTGGTACAGGAACTTTTTAAGAGATGTTAAAAGATTTGAACCTGAATTATCTCATTATTCTGACAGAATCTGACAATAAATCAACATATTGTGTATGACTGGAAGTACCTGGCATATTACTCCTAATTGTCTACCCCAACAGTAAAACTTACTTTAACATCCCTGAGCATTTCAGACCCCACACCTCAACGTCCGATGCAACACAGAGCCCTCATACTGCAGCGTCCCATCTCTAAAAACCCACAAGAGTGCAAACCGGCCCCATCCCAGCCCACTGGCCAAGGGTACAGGCTTTTAGGTTACGCATGGGGCTTTCCTGCCTGCACAGGACAGCCTTGCCCCTGACAATTAGGGCACCCACAGCCTCTGACCACCTGCACAAGGGGCATGAAGGCAAGATGGACACAATTTCAGCAGATGGTCTGTAGAACAAGGTGAACGAAAGCAAAAACTCAACCCACAACAAAGGTGGAGGATGCATGTTGAGGCTCAGCTGGAAAGATGAGTGGCACAGCACAGAGGCTCAGCCAGGGCACCCACCACAGAATGGTGCCATGAAGAAAGGACAAGAGTGCTGCGACATGGGGATGCACAGCAGGGTAGGGCTGATGTACAGCCAAGGGAACAAGAGGTGTCCAAGGAAAGGCTGAGGCCAGCCTGCCGCACCTGCACTCTATGCGTGCCACCACAGGAGGAAAGGGCTGAACCTGAGCACCCCCATGCTCACAATTGCCCCAACTGGGTACTGCCACCCAGACAACTAGGGGACAGAGCCTGCAGGCTGGGCGGGGGACACCTGCAGCAGCTCCCCTGTGGGTGCACGGCTGCAATGGAGTCAGGCCCTCATCCAGGTCTGGTGGAGGTTCTGGGAGTCGCAGGCCAAGGAATCACACCTCAATGCTCATCTGCCCCAACAGTGATGCTTTATCATGCCAGCACCCTCCTTCCCAGGGGTCTGGGCATGGGAAGGTCATTTTTCAGTTCCTCCCCAAGGTGGACAAACAGCTTAAGTCCAGCTCAAATGATTGGAAAGTTGGCAAGAAAAAAAAAAAAAAAAAAGAGAGAATACACACCCACACATGGAGAGTCTGAAAGACCAGAGGTAGTGCCAGGAACAGCCTGCAGTGCGAGAGGAAGGGTCTCACCTTCCACAGACTCCAGCCCCAGCTTCAGGAACTTCCATCTACTCCCCACCAGACTTCTTTGAAGAAACAATGTGCTGATACATTAAGAACCCTTTCTTAGAGTAAACACCTCTGAGTAATTCTCACAATTCTGTCTTCTAGTATTGCTTCCTCCAAGACTCTACCCCTGAAGCCCAGAAAAAACAAACCTCACTTAAAAAAATACGTTTTGAAATCCTACCAAAAATTGATTTCTGTTATGTTAACCACTGGCTAGTCAACAACCTTCCCTGGCTTTAAGGAGAGTAGCTGCCAAGAAGTGGCCTTCAACTCACTCAAACTGCAGAGGCTTTGGTATGGAGACACTCCCCTGCAAGAGATGAGTTCAAACTGGATGTTGATATTTCACATTATTCCCGCATGTTAAACATTTAAAAATATACAAGTTACTTAAGCTTTAAGCAATGTGCTAAAATACAAAGACCAAAGCTTCTCCTTTATAAAGGCTTCAAAAAGACAGTATATTAGTTCTGCTCATCTCTGCTTTTGCTGAAACAGGTGAAGTTACAGCTCACTTCACATGTCTTTGGGCATTATTCCCTATTGCACATTCAACTTCCACCTTATTAGTTAGATGCATTGTTTCCAGCAGAAACTCCCTCCCATTTGAGCGAGCCTCATGTGTTTAAACAAGAGGGGCTCCCACCAGCACCCATCTCCTCTCACTCCCTTCTTGCTAATGGGGTAGTAGATCTTCATGATTCTTGTAGTTGCATAATTATGGGTATAAGATGTAAGACTTCCTCCTATTTTTAAACAGTGCCAGCTCATCTCGGAAGGTTAAAAAACTAAAAATCACATCTTATTGTATGCAACAGACTAACAAAAAGGCTATGTATCAGCATAACAGGCAATGTATAACTCTTACAGTTCTGCTTGTGGAAGAAGTTACGCAAAGCTTCCTGGTGTTAAGCATCTGGAAGGCAAGAACATCCCAGCATGCTATAAAGTGATAGCCCGGCTCCTGGCAGCTCCTTGCTTGCAGGAGAATCAAGCACGTATTCCAGATACTTAGCACTGCTTTCCCTTGTGTCAGCAGCTCTTGTGAACAGGTCCAATCCATCCAGGCAAAGAGGACACACACCTTCCATCTCTCAACCGTGATATACTTGAAGAAAGGCATACAAGTTTCAGTCTACGTATGTGGAGAATAAGATGCAACCAGGCAGACAGGATAGAACTGTAGGAAGGTCCCTCAAGCACGTCCTTGTTCAGTCATTTTGTTTGCTAGAGTTGCATTTGTGACACAGAAGTACTCAAGGCTGTGGGCTCAGAAAGGGGCTACAGAAGCCTTCCAAGCTTCAGAGGCTCGAGACGGGGATACTTCTACATATCCAGAGTCAGCTGAATGAAGCAAACATCTAAAAAAATGCCTTTGACTTTATCTATGTTATCAAATATACTCAATAGCAAGATCGCTGCAACTCAGCAGTCTGTGCTGATGCCTCACAAAGGCCAGAAGAGCATTCTCAGCTGCATTTCCAGTTCTCCTTCTCATCAGCACCTGAATGGGTATGTAGAGAATCCTGGGGGTGGGGGAGGAGGAGGAGAGAAAAAAAAAAAAAAAAGAAGAGATTTCTTGTGTGCCCACTTCCCCTTCAGTCCTTACTGCAAGAAGAGGATCAAAGAATCCTAATCCATCCTTTCACCTACAGGGTGTTATACAATCCCAACACTACAGTAGATACTTTGCTACCAAGAGCTGCCCCACAACATTCCCTCTCTGCAGTTTCATGCCTCCTGCCACCACAAGTTTTAATTTGAATGATCTTGCTTAGGAAGAAAAAGTAGCATCTCAGCACAAATATCTCTCATCCTGGTTGCACAAAGCAGGCTTTGCTAGCACAGGATTTTTTTACCTGGGTTAGAAGTTGATGACATCTCAGCTGTCTATAGAACTGCAACACAGAAGGATCCGCTCTCACTACTTTTGGATCAAAATCCAGAACACGGAGACCTGCAAGGCTACGGGCTCGGGAGAGGGCTACGTAAGCCTGCCCACTTTCAAAGACACGAGACAGGGAGATTTCCACACAATCTAAAGACATGCCCTATCAAAGACACAGAGAAGTTTGTTACAGAACAAACAAACAAAAAAGAACACTGTGCTGTATCAACACTAACCTGTCCTACGAGTCTGTCAAAGGTACCATCCTTGGTGTACGGGCTTGATAAAAAAAAGGAATTCTCTTGTTTGACTATGTAACTGATTAAAAGATGGGAATCAGTAGAAAGAAAAGGACAGTTTTCCCCACTGTCAGGAAATTGCTAGCAGACAGTAGGGTCCACTAACTCCAGTGAGCCTCTTCTTGTGTGAAACTCCACAAATCCCATATAATCAACACAGCAGGGAAAGAAGTCCTGCTGTTTTCACTCCTAGTAATTAACTGGAGCAGCCATCAGTCTCAAGCAGTCCTCAGACAGACCATCTGAGACAGAGTTTGGGTTAGGCCTGGCCAACCCTGTCTGCACCAAGAGACATCCCAGAAGGCAGCAGAATTTACAACGTGGCCTGGTTTAAGCAGTGGCATGGGAACAAACTCACAGGTCTAATACCAAGACAAGTATTTATCAAAGTGTATAAAGTCTTCTGGAAAGGTAGGAACTGTATTAGTTACATTGAAAAAAACAACACATACCACCAAAGGGGGAGTCCAGCCCAAAGAGCACAGCTGTGACTCCTGCAGCTTCCTCATGTACACTGCAAACCTCAGTGTCACTAATGCTGATGACTATCAGAGAAACACTACCCTGATCAGCCCACAGCAGTAAATAATGCTGCTTTATAGTCTAAGACCAACTATGCAGATGGCAGCACCCTTATGGAAACTCCAGCAGTATTGCTAGCCCATCCTTGACCCTGTAGACAAGCATCACAAGCAGAAGAGGTGCTGCCTTCTCTGCAGCTAGGCACAGACATTCTAGAGGTCCCCCACAACAAAGGCCTTTCAGTTTTCCCTCCTGTTTTACCAGCAATGCAAGCTCACCCAGGAAATAAGGCTTATGATGATGTAAAAGTCTATAGACAACGGTATAAGAACACCCACCTGACTCTTGTGAATGGAAATGGCCCATGCCAATTTTAAAGGCAACTGTTGACGACTCAGATGAAGTCCTGATGGTCCTTTGAAGACCCATTTCTCTGTTTTGATGACCTGTGTGACCCCGCAGAGAAACCTCACCTTAGGCAGCCCTATAGGAATGGGAGCAGGAGAGAAACAGGGATCTATTCCTGACACTTAACAGCCAGGAAGCCAGCAGCCTAAGAACACTTTTTTCCTCCTTCCCCATGTCAGTCTTTCATGACTTTTAGGACTGCATTAAAAAAAGAAAATCCCACACCAAAAAAAAAAAACACAACACCACTAAACCCACACACAGTAAATAGGATGTCCTGAAATGATGTTTGGGACCTACTTAAGCAGGAGAATTAAAGTCAGGTAATTTATCAGTTGAGATGCAGAGAAAAATACATTATTCTCTGAGAAAAACAAACAAAAAAACCCACCAAGACTTGCTTCAACAGAACAGACAGGACATGCAAATCTAGAGAATAAAGAAAAGCAGACACAAGACATCCTACAGCTACAGCTGATGCAGCACATGACATCACACCCTTATGAGAGACCCAAGCCTCTCACTGCAAAGAAGACCTCCTCCCTGCTGTCCCTCAAATTATTCTTACCAAGCAGTAAACAAAATTAACAAGTCATCAGCTGTCAATGATAGATTGTTTTGTTTTTTCCCCCCCTTCCTTCAACAAAAAAATCAAAAAGCTTACTTACCCTTCTGTTCACTTTCAAATCCTACAACAACTCCTCGTGCCCCATTCACCAGCCCTTGAGACACATCCAGATTCTTAGCTAGCATCACCTACAGAGAAAAAGAAAAATCCCTTAGTGCACTGGCCTTACAGCCTGTTCAGCCACCTGCAGCTAAGCTTCTAGCCAGGATGCATAAGCCACGGCCACATCACCTATTGCAGGATAGAGCACCATCTCCAATTTGAAATTATTTCACAGCTTTTCCTTCCTAGGATTCCTAACTACATCATTCTGAAGCACTGAACAGTTCACTTGAGCTGCTTCTGTCCACAGATCCAGGGAACAGATTCCCCTTCCCCAAACACCAACCAGCCTAGACATATATAGATTCCGGGAACACCTAAGGAACAACTTCCCAAGGCAAATAAGCACAATCCTGCATCCTTTCCACTCTGACAGCCCTACCTTACAGCAAGGTGCCCAGTCCTGCAAATTTGGCAAGCTGTGCCATACCCTTACAGGTTGGGAGGGCTGCTGTACCTGGAGCTGAGACTGCAGGCAAGGACTGCCCGTGCTCTCTGCTGCCTGGAAGTTTCTAAACCTGATTGGAAATGTGTCAAAGCATAGCAGTCACCACTGTCCGTGAGGCATGGATCTCCACTCAAATCAAACTAATTCTCTGTCTGGATAAGATTCCAAGCAGAAAGGGTACAAAGATTGGGACAGAGTCTTCTGTTGGCCTGGCATAGTTGTTCTATACAGAATCTGCATTCTATACATTGATCTACTCCATACATTTATCTGCTATTCCTTTATTTTTCTTACGCCATTTGATCTGCTGGTCTTTCACAAATGTATGTACACACACTCACCTGAGCTCCAAGCTTTAGCTCAACTCTACCACCCACAGGACACTGAGCATCAATTAACTTCACTAGCATTGGGTCACTGTCCAAAGCCTCAAAAGTGCGCACTTCTCCTATTCAGGAAAGAACGATTTGACAAATTGCAACCATTGAACATATTCCACATAGCATTGCAGGAGGCTCAACATTTATTTTTAACAGCAATTCCTCTTTTAATATCAATTCTGCTCTGCTGGTAGGACATCTTCACACAAACCTTGTCACATCTAACAGCAGAAAGCTCACTATTGCCTCTCTTCCCAGCATAACTCCCAGAGCATGAGGAGGCTCGGGAATCAAAGGACAGCAGTAAATAAGAACTGAGCCATCACCACTTTGAGCATATGACCAGTTTCACTTGCTGCCAACACCAGATCTCCAAAGAGGACTAAGAAAGAATCCTAGGGCCAGACAGGGAGGCAGAAATGAAATAGCTGTTAATTCAAGCCATGGCTGGATAGAGCACGGCCTTTCTGAAATGCTATAGAAAGAAAAAGCAGGGGTATGGAGGCAGTAATGACCCACCCTAACTCACAGCAAGCAACGAGCTCGCTGTCTATTACACACCAAGAAGTAACAGTGTGGATTTTTAAGCAAAAAGCTGTGAAGTTTTTCCCCAGGCAGCTCAACTCCAACACGCACAGCTTGGACTGGTGCTGCTGTGCGTGACAGAACATCAGTTTCTCTTGACACCACAGTATCCCTATCGCATCCACTCAGAGCTCAGCCCCAAAGCCAGCAGCTTCCTCCAAGGAGTTTACCTGATAGCTGTTGCAAACGTCTCTCATTAGTTATTTCTACATCATCTTTATGGGTGCAGAGCCGTGTAGCCAGGATCCCATCATGCTCAGACCTGTTAGCAGCGGTCTGCATCAGCAGTCTGGTAACCTCCTCGGTGCACCTGGTAACCAGGAAAAGGAGATTATTATTTAAAGTGATCGGGTACAGGTCTTGAGCAGCAGTAACCTCCCCTCTCTCAGCCTCCAGAGAGAAGGACAGCGAAAGATAACTTCACAAGGTTGAAGAGAAGTGCAAATGTGTGCCCCAGCCCTGGCCATTGCCAGCTCAGGATCCATTGAATTCCTTAGCAAAAATTGCAAAGAGGGACCCTAGCAAGGGTCCTTCCTTACCGGAGAAGCATATATAAAACCTGCTTACATTAACTAAAGCATTTATAGCTATTGCCCCCAGCCACACATTCCTGATAGAGCACAGAGAAGTGACAAACTGCTCTTTCCTCTGTTCCATTGGTAGGGAGCAGGGATTATAAAGAGAGCCGAGTTTCTCCTCACCTGCCTAAACGGACTGCACTCAAGAGTGAGACAAAGGTCTTGTCGGTCTGTCTCCGCACTTCAGTCAGCTCCATGTTTATGTGGATGCATTTCCTCCAGCTTTTTGCCTGGGAAATCATTCTCTTGTTAAGAAAGAGGCAGACTTGAAGTATGAGAATGAGTTTAGGGACAGTTTTGTACCTGGAAGCAGAACTTGGTTTCTTCGTTAGCCTTGCAGACTGGGGGTAGCTGCAAGAAGTCCCCACAGATGATTAGCTGAATTCCTCCAAAAGGCTCATCCTGTTTTCTGACTGCCCTGAAAGGGAGGGAAGAGAGGAGAAGCTTTGAATGCCTTCCAGGACCTGGACACAGTCAGGTCTCAGAAGTTACTTCTTAGTCTGTCAGTACATTCAAACATACACCACCTGGAATAAAAGATGATTATCCTGAGTTGTGTCAAAAGAGCTCAAATAATTAAGCAGTGCTATCACGTGACATTAAGTTTGCTTTTCTTACCCACCCCAGATGTCATTACCAGTCTTGGTTGTTTGGTAGCTGTTATACTACAACTGCTTCTCTCTGCAAGAAGGAGCTGCTGGGCACAGCATAGACAGCTGTATTCTGGATTCAGTTTTCTACAGACAACACTTGGCTCCGGAGATGGAAACAGCAATCAGAACAGCCACAGCTGGGGAGCGGGGACATGATCGAAGCTTATCTCAAGATAAAGGTCTGCCCCAATACTGGCTATGTTTTCATACTTTCTTCCAGTCCTAGTGGTTTCTTCTAGTCCAGTCCTTTCTTCTACTCCAGTGCCAGTGGTTGCCTCCTATCCATTCACATAACCAGAGGAAAGAAGCAGCCTGGAAATTTAGGGGAACTCTTTTCTGTTAGTTGTTTGACCTGACAATCACTAACCTCGCCACTGCCTCCAGCCTGTCAAAGAACTTGCCATCCACCATTGAGATCTCATCGATAATTAAGTGCTGGCA